AAGGGGGCATCCACTTTCCTACAAATGATTCTTATTCTTTATGGTGGAATAGCACCTGACTATGTATAAATACGTTTGATTTATTTATTCCTCTGTTGATGGGCATATAAACCACTTCCAAAGTTGTGGTGCTTTAATCATGGGCATGCATTCAATCATTGTAGTGTGATGTTTTGAATTCTTAGGAAGCTACTTAGAAGGAAAACAGCTGGGTCAAATGGAATTTCTAGTTTTAGTTTTTTGAGAACTCTCCATACTGACTTCCATAGTAGATGTACTAGTTTATATTTACACCAACAAAGCAGAAGTGTGTCTTTTCCCCTGCAGCCTCACCACTACTTGCTACTGTTTGATTTCTCGATGGCAGCCATTCTTTCTGGAATAAGATGGAAATTTAATGTTGTTTTCACTTGCAAATGTTTGCTTTTGATTTACAAAGGAAATAAGGAAATTTGTTTGATAGTTTTTTTCCCTTTCAGATTAATGACTTGGCATTGATAGTGAAGTAAGCTAGGGGTGGGAACCTGCCTTACATTGTTCAAATACCTAGTGTTCCTCTTGGATTGAAACTGAAGTCATATAACCAAATAAGGTGTAACACCATCATAGTGACAGAGAACAGGTGAAGAATTTACATTCTTATGTACAATAACTTTTGTTCTTTACACTTAGCAGAGTACAGTATCTCTCAAATATTGCTACTAAATATTAGAAAAATTAAAAATGTATTTGTTTCCTGAGGTCTTGGTGACAAAGAACCACAGAGTGTTTCAAAGCAACAGAAATACTATTTTTTTGGTTCTACAAAGGCAAAATCAAGGTGCCTGTGAAACCAAGCTTCCTCTGAGACTCTAGCTAGACTCTTTCCTCCTCTCTTCCTCAATCTTGGTGCAGGCTGGCAATCCTTGGTCTTCCTTGACTTACAACTGCATGCCTCAGTTGTGACATGGTCTCATTCTAGTCAATCTGGTTTTTCTCTTAAAAGGTCATCAATCATAATGGATTTGGGCTCATCCTAATAATCTCATTTTAACTTGATTACATGTGTGCAGACCCTATTTCCAAGTAAAGGCCTTCAGCATATTTGGGGTGATATTTCAACCCACAATGCATCTTGCAAGGTATTTTTCACACTAATGTGGTGAAGGACTAAAGCCTAATGACTTAGCAACATTACAACTAAATTTCAAGCAGTACTGGGAAATTCTAAAACTACAATCTAGCTGCTTCATATTTCTGTTCAAAGCACATCAAAGAAAAAAAGAAAAAAAGTATATCAAGGGCTAGAATCTGACTCTTTGGTATGGCGTGACCTAGTCACATCTGCCCACTCTTCCTTCCTTTCCCTCCTGACAGCTAAACTACATTTTGATGGCATTTGGCATGTGAGATGTGACAGAAGACCATGGTGAACATTTAAATTAATAAAAATTTATTACAGGAAGCCACATTTCTTGTAAACCCCCTTCAAAATACTCCAACTTATCCCACTGTCCTTGCCACTTTCGGAAGCAGTTCTGGAAGTCCTTTCTTGTATTTAGTTGTACTCTTGTAACTGCCTCATGTCCTCAATCAGTTCAAGATGTTTACCTTTCACAGTTGTTTTGACCTTGGGGCCGAGCTAGAGGTCACCCAGTGCCAGATCTGGTGAGTGGGCCAGTGAGGGTACACCATGTTCTTCTGAGCCTGCCTTTCTGTTGGGTCCCACTCAGCAGCAGCAATCTTAAGTACACCTAATAAAGACACAAAAGAAGACTTCCAGAACTGCTTCAGAATGTGGTAAAACCAATGGGACATGTTCAAAGAGAGGGGGAGTATTTGAGGGGAATTGGTGGCAATGTGTCTTTTATTAATTTTTTAAATTTCCACTGTAAATTCCAATCACATCTCTTATACCAAAAATCTCTTGACTATTTTGCTTTTGTACAACTGCTAGACTTCTTGAAATGCATCCAAACTTTTTACCTTGCTAATTCACATTCATTCCTCAAGTTTCTCTTTAAGAATTTCCTTGTGCTGAGAAATACCACCTATCTGTCCTGGGTGGGATTCAGATTCTACCTGTTGTTTATACAGAGGCTAAGAGCTTAAAATTCAGAAACTTGCGTTTGAGTCCCAGCTCCATCAGTTAACTCCAGTGACTATGAGGTATGCAAGCTATGCGTGCTGTCACTCATAATTCTCTATCTCTCTCTCAATAGAGTCTCTGATTTCAGTGAATTAAAACATGTAAACACTCAGCAGTCACTGGCTGCTGTTCAGGGTTTTATGCTGTGATCTTTTCTTTTTGTTTTGTTAGGGACAGAGTCTTGCTATGTAGGCTAGGCTGGCCCTGAGTTCATGGCAATCCTCCTGCCTCAGCCTCCAAAGTGCTGGGGTTATACGCCTGTGTCACCATGCCTGGCATTAGTTGTGATTAAAATTATTATTGATCACTGTGAAATTTCTGGCACATAATTCCTACCCAAAACTATGAACTGAGAACAGGATCATATTTTGCATTAGCATATTCCTAGCCTAGAATACAGCTTATCATCCAAACATATGTGATATAAGATTCAGAGGCATCAACCCAAAAGAAGGAAACAGGGAGTTTGTTCCTCTTTCTCCAGCAAGAATTACAAGACTATAGTTACCAGAGAGCTGCAGGAGAGAAAAGGCTGAAGAAATAAGAAATCTTCCCCAATTTGCTGCCAGGAGGTAGTTCATTGATAGACTAAGTATAATTTAAAGTGTGAGATTTTAAAATTTTAACTTTGTGGTTGTAGTGCTGGGGATTAAACCCAGAGAAGCTCTACTATTAGGCTGCATCCATAGCCCTTTTAAAACTTGTACTTTGAAATAGTCTTGCTAAGTTGCCCAGGTTGGCCTCAAACACGCCATGCTTCTGCATCAGCCTAAGGAGTAGCTATAATTGTAAGAACATGATACACACCAGGCCTACACTTTGTATTTCTTAACTTTTACTCATATATGCTATAGCAAAGTCCTACAAACAGCATATCTGAAGTAAAAGCTCGGAATATCAAGTGTTTACTCTGAAAATATTACTTCCTAAAAAAAAAATGATAAAAATCAGGCTCGTGAAATGCTTAGGAAGCCAAGCCAAGATAATATTATAGAAAACACTTGTATCTGGCTTAAATGGTCTCTTAAAAACACACATTTCTAGAAAAATAAGTTCTCAGATCTATAAAGCTTGTTCCCCATTTATTTTTTTGTGATTCAGAAATACAAGATATGAAAATTAGGTTACAATTTTGCCACAAAAGCTTCTAAAGTAACAAACACAAGTTCTAACATGTATCAAAATAGCCATGTGTTCTTTTGTCAACTTAAAAATGTCTTTAGAGTTCTCATTTCAAGCAAGTGTAAAATATAATAGTAATTACCTCTTCTGCAAAATACCAAATCTACAGCTACAATGAACTATGATCTCAGCAGCAAGATCCAGTCCTCAATTGGAAAATTATGCTTAGTTGTTACTTTTAGAACCAATTTACTAAAACTTTAAGGAAGTAAGACAGAAAGCATCTTACATCAAAAACCAAGTACTCAAATCCTCAAGTGAATAACATTAATGTTTAAATTAAAACATAGTAAAATTCAACCTAATGACATAATTCAGAAAAAAAATTGTGGTACTGCCTTCTTATAGAAAGAACAAAACATACAATTCTTTGAATTGAAATAAATTCATTACCAAAATGCTTTCCCATCTAAATATCAGAAAGTCTCTTGAATCATTAACATATGGTTTCATAGATCTAGATAACTATTTTAAACTAAATATATGTAGATATTAATGTAAAAAGACCATTGTAACAGTGTTTTAAATAGTTTTAACTGTGCAAACTAAAAAATACAGAATGAACAATTTTCATAATTTTTTTTTTTTTTTTTTTTTGGTAGTACTATGGATAAAACTCAGGGCCTCACACATGCCAGGCAAATACTCTACCACTAAGCTGTATCCCTAGCCCATGATTTTTGTTTCTGAAAACAGAAATAAAGACTATTTTCTATGTTTTACAATTATGAAATGTCTTTAAATATATTTTGGAATTTATATGGCTGAATGATGTTAATTTATAAATATACTTATTACAATAAAAATACATTACAATAAAATGGTAAAACAAACCATTAGAGTAATTCATGTAATAAACTGTTGGTGGGCACATACAGTCAACAGACCAACAGGATTGTGAAGGATTTTTTTTTTTTTTTGGCTGGCTCTTGCTGCCTTAAGGCGGGTCTGATAAGGCATATGGATCTGGGGATCAACCATGGTATCCTGTGCCTGACTGCATTTGCATAAGCAGGTGCTTAGGGCCTGGGGAGACAGCTCAGTAGAATAAGTGCTTGCCTGGCAAGCACAGGGTCCCAAGTTCAATCCCCGGCACAGGGCGGGGGGGAGGGTACTTAAACAACTGAGCTAACTGGCAGGCCCCCTAGTCTGACAGGATTGTAATTAAACTTCTAGGGCTGGGAGGCAGTGAAGCTCAGTGGTACAGCTCAGGTTTTACATGCACAAAGCACTAGGTTCAAACTCCAGCACAAATGATAATTAAAAAATAAAACCAATAGCCATAAATTAAGATTCATCCACAATCAGTAAGTACTAAATCAATGTGATCCTTTAAAAAAGTCAGCAGTTTCTCTAACAGTGGGATTAAAAGTTGTCTTTTCTTCTTCCCCTCAACAGAAAAATAAGTTGTACAAAAATCAACGTGAGAAATTTTTTTAAAAATTGAATTTTCTTTGTAATATTTTTGTTTCAGATGGACTCAGAAAATTGTGAAATGCTACCCAAAGGACTACAATTCCTTATCCAAAACACTCTGGAGGGCCAGCAAGATAGCACAGCGGACTAAGCACCTGCTTAGGCAAGTGCTGGGACTGGTGTTTGATCCCTGGCACCACAAGCTGTGCCAGCCCCACCTCTGGGCTCACCCAGCGCTGGGGAGCCTGAAAACAGAAGGATCACCAGTCCAAGCTGCATAGTGAGACCCTGTACCAAATACATAAAAAAACCCAGGCCACTTGTTTTTCCCATTTCATAGTTTGTTGGATTTGAAAAGCATACTATGGTGGCACATGATGGATATCACAAAACTTCCTTGGAGTCTGGCAATAGCTATAAAATTAAACCTGTTGGTATTTCAAGCAGGCAAATGAAGTGGCACAAATAAAAATAACCACACTCCAGTTTAAGTTTTGCTAGTGAATTATAGCATTAAATTTAGAAAAATAAGCAAGCTTAGTTTTAGAAGTTTGGGAATAAGAAGAGTGTGCACCTTTAACAGCTCTGACGAAGCTGACTCCATCACATTATGACCTGTGCAAGTCTGCTCTTGTGCCTGACTTTCACTGCATTAGAGACAGCATCTCCCACTAGAGAAAAGAGTTAAGTTTGTTCAGACGGTAGATTACCTGAGTAAAATACTGTCTGAAAATAATTTGAGGATACCGACAATTTGAGAAGTACACTGAAATAACTATTGCTTTTAATCTTATTAAACGTGACACCTTTGACTAGACTTCAATATAGATCAGCAGAGGGTACCGGCATTCAAGGAGCATTTCTGAAAGAATAAAAACTGAGTACTATATGAGTATTTAGAAAAATAATTAGACTTTTTTAGCAGCTGCACAGTGATTCCATATAGACCACAAACTTTAGCTATAAAAGACTGGAAGATTCACAAAATCAATTTGGCATCAACTAACTTCTGCAAATTGTAATCAAGTTATGCCAAGCAATTTATATATTAAATAATAATTTATTCTGTATTCATCAGTGTCTAAATTTGCCATTCACGGATCTTGATAGATACCATGGAGCCATCTTCCTTAAAAATTATTACTTTTTAAAGTCAAACACTTCAAAAACTCAAAAGCAAAAAAAAAAAAAGCCTGGATATAATTTCTAGGTCTTTTCTTACAATAAAAAATAATTTCTTCTTCAAAAGTAGAAGTCTTTTCCCATCCAAGGGAGCTGGAATGCACTACTGTGTACGTGGGGACCAGGGGGGCACATCAAGGTGTCAGAGGGGCGTGAACAATGGGTAAACAGGATGCTACCGGGAGGACCCGGGCTGGGAACAGGCACTTGCTGTAGAAATCCACGAAGTGAGCAGGTCCTGTAGCCTACACAGAGCATTCAGAGGGCCAGGAGGATTTCCAGGGCTTCCCAATGGAATGAACAGGCTTCTGTAACATGTGGCAGGAAGATACTGTTCTCAGGTCAGTGGGAGAGTCAAGGAACATGGGTGATCATCTAGCTTCTGTATCTTCAAAGTTATCCACTTCTTTTCTTAACAAGTAAAATTTTCAATATACAATCATAGCCTTTCCTAAAAGCTACATATGTGCTACTAGGTTAAGAATGTCACACTTTTTATTTATCTTTAATTCATGAATTAATTTAAAAAGTCAAGTCAAAAAATCTTAGCTGGTCTTTTTTCTTCTTTTACAAAAATATTACAGCAGTATAAGCAAAGCTGAACAAGGAAGAGAAGGGAAAGACATACATTAACATGGAACAGGTGAATTTCAGCTCATCATGGCTATTGAAAAAACTGTAAACTTCTGTAAGCATCTAAGATTTTATTTACTCTTCAGAAAACACTAAGGAAGCTGCCTGTCTCCATGAATGAAAACTGGAAAGTCCTAAGCATCAGTCTGAAGAAGATAAGAAAGTACTGTTCCCCTGCTGGAAAAGACCAATGGCTTCACCTTTTGCTGCCTCGCTCTCTCCCATCCCCCTCAGAACTTTGTGGGATCAAAGAGAAAGAAGCTCTTTTGGCAGTAGCGAAGGCGTCACCAGAGGTGTCCAGACTTACTGGCAATGTGTACAGCTCATCTTGAGGAAAATACACCAAGTGAAAAGAAAAAGTCCAGAAACACATAAACTGCCTTTCATGGAAAGTTTCAAAAAGCCCTCAAGACTTATGTGTCATAAAATACATCTCTGGACTTTATGTCTGTAAAGGGGAAAAAGAATAAACAGAAAAAATGCCACTTATCATTCTGGAATTCCACTCTTTACCCTGTTGACACACTGTCAGTTCTCACACTACCAATGCTCCACCTCAAAGATCTCCTATTCTGTATTTGCATAGTGTTAATCCTATTATCTGGAGTTGGACTCCTACATCTGTGCTTGTAGCCAGATTTATGAAGAGAACTGGTCTAGTCTTACATATTCAAAAACAAGACAAGTATCTGTAGGCTAGAAATAGGGTTCCATGTAGCAGCAAGCTGTTTGAATATATTGGAAACAGTTTTTTTTTTTCCTCAAGGGGTAAGAATTAAGCAGTTTTGTCTGCAATTTCAGATTTTGCTCTCTGCATCATACAGCGACGAACTATGCTATCAAAACTTCCAAGGTAAAACAGAGCGATAGTTCGGAAAAGGCCCATAGTGACCACCTGCAAGACAAAGAAAGACCTTTTAGTTTATCCAGCATCCAACAGTGCAATACAATAGTTCACTTCATTTCAGGTATTTAGGTCTCTGCTAAATAGTTTCTAGGACACATCTTCTAATCTGCTCCAAGGGTAAGTATAATGAAAACTCTCTAAATGTCAGTAAGTTCTGAGAACAGAATACGTCGGCTCTGTACCACTGTATAGCACTGAGCCTGCCAGAGATAAAATATTTGTCTGATTAATAACGTTCCAACCATAAAAAGAACAAAATGGTCTTCTTGACAGCACAGGACTGTAATTGCTAGGGAAATTCAATGGTAGCATCCACAATAGCAGAACTACAAACAATACTTCTTTGGTTTTAAGATTTATGTTTTGAATGTACAAGCAGGCCCCAGCACTGGTGCTGAGACACATCCTTGCCCCCCTTCGAGCTTTTTTTAAAGACTGCCCTGTTGCACTGGCTGGTCCTCAGCGCCTCCTGCACAGCTGAGACTACAAGTGGGCACTTTCAGTCTTCAGTTTGTTTGCTAATTGAAAGACAATGAAGTAAAAAGCAATTACTATTTTAGGGTCAAGGCAGCAATTAACTATATCCATTTACTCTGGGTCTTTCCTTTATAGATTCTCACTAAAGCAATTCTAAGTGGGACCTTCAAAAGGTGTAAAACTGTAAGGAGGAAGAGGAACAATTTCAAATGCCCTAGGACTCAAAAAATGTGTCTCCCAGATTCCATCCCCCCTTTCCTGGAAAGCTACTAGAAGTGGTAAACAAAATGAGAAGATCAATTAAGAAAGACACTGTCGTAAGGTCCAGGAACAAGGGCCTAACATAAGATGGGCAGAGGTGGAGAAGCCAGGCATGACTTGTGCACCGTGTTTGGGCAGTGACGCTGACCGGCAGGCGACAGCTCCAGGAGGAACGCCTTCCTGAAGGGAACAGACGCCATCACTGATATTTCTGAATATCGTACATCAAGGGGAGATGAAGACCAGTGAAGAACTTAAGCCTCAACTAATAATGGACAGACACAGTACATGGGAGAGAACCAAAAATAATTTCAGGTAATAATTACCTATTCAATAATTTTGAACAGTAATCATCATATATGTCACACACAACACACAGCCCTGAACAGTGTTTAATCACAAAAACGATCTTCTCAAAACACACACCTAACCAAAATGACAATGTGAATAATATAATAAAGTGAGGAGGATGGTAAGAAGAGTCAAGCCCTCATCTCTCACATTGAAGACAATAATTTGATGTCCCAACCATGGAAAACAGAAGGCTCAAGGGAGCTATGCTGTCTGCAGAGCGGAGGTAAGGATGCAAGATCCGAGACAAGAACAGGGAGCAGTTGCCCTTGAGCAAGGTGCAGAAGAGAAGCTGAAGGAGGATCCACTGTTCTTTTTCTCTCTCTCTTTTTTTTTTCTTCATCCTGGGGGTTGAATTCTGGGCCTCACCCATGCTAGGCAAGTGCTCTATTACTGACCTACAACCCCAGCTATTTATTTTGTATTTTTAATTTAATTTGAAACAAGGTTTTGCGAAGTTGCTAATGCTGATCTCAAATTTGCCATCCTCCTGCCTCAGCCTCTGGAGTAGTTGGGATTAAAGGTGTGATCCACCATGCTTACCAAGGGTCCACTGTTTTCTGGAGCAACTTGTGAAAACTAGCTTTGACTAGGGTAAATTCAAAAAATATAAAAAGCAAAAGAGAAGCTAGCAAAGGCCAAACTATGAAGACAGTAAAAAAGGTCACTGATGGGCCAATGGGCCAATGCCAAAGTGAAAAATGAAAAGGTGCCATTCAGTGGAATTTCAGGGCACTGAAATTATTATGCATGACGTTGTAAATCGCAGATATGTATTAAGCATTTATCAAAACCACAGAAATGTGTAATACTAAGCGTAAACCCTAGGGTAAACTGCAGGAGTTAGGTGATATACATCAATACTGGTTCATCAACTGAAACAGATGCAACATGCTAAGGAAAAAAGTTAATAATAGGAGAAACTATGTGTGCAGAGGGAGGTGTGTAGAACCTGTACTTTCCACCCAAGTTTTCTATAAACCTAAAAAAACAGTTAAGACATGAAGGAAGATTAGAAGTTGGCTAAAGGAAATCTGGGCTTGAGGGCTATAGACCAAGTCCCATAAAGAACAAGGAGGACTACAGAAAGGAGGAGAAGGAGCTGGAAAGATCGGTGGGGCTGGCAGCTCAGAGGGCTGTGTTATGTGCTCAGATTTAAGCTTCAGCCTGATGGTAGCAGGGAGCCACAGAAGGCTTTGTGTGGGGTACAGCTGTGGTTAGAAACAGGTAGAAAATGCGATGGCACACTCAAATGCTTCTGGTGGGCCTGCACAGGGTGCTGCAGACCAAGGGTGGGGGGCAGAGACTGTCATAGAGGAGCAGCTGCCACCTGCCTGCACTGATTGCTGTCTGCTGAGAGTGCAGCTCTTGTTTAGCCAGACCTGATTTGCCAGGAAAGGTCTTAAATCTAGACATTTTATGTAAAAATCTTATTTTGAAGCTAAACACACACACTCACACCAGGTGAACCCAAATAATATTTTTCAAGCCCCTGGGAAGCCCCCTAACAACCTCTGCCTCCAAAGTACACAGCTCAGGTAGAGGGTAAACTACAAGGACCCAGGCCTGCCTGAGCTCCAGATGCAGTAGTGGGGCTGCTGACAAGGACAGGATGAGGCTGGGCAGCAGGGGACCTCCGAAGAGAGGCAGTGACTACACTTCAATTTTCGGCTGAGGTGAGTAAAGGTGTACGCCAGTCGTGAAACGGAACCAGGGTGCCAGGAGTGAGGGAGACCACAGAACACTGGGGAAATACAGAGCTCCACTGAACTGGGTATATGGTCACTTTCCAGGCAAAATGACTCCAGGGTGCTAACACAGAACTGGAGCGAGGAGGTGGCTAGGGCTGGACTTCAGATGTAGTATATTTACGTAGAAGCAGCAAACATGAGAAAAGGATCAGACTGCCCAAGGAGAAGGTATGTGCACCAGCCTGACTCAGGCAATCTGGATTTTCTGTTCATGGCAGATACTTGCTGCTGGGGCACAATGACACATAAGAGATGGGCACCTTGTCTCCAAAGTGCTTACATCTGACGAAGTCTACTTGTCAGGAATGAAATGACAACACAGTGGGTATTATCTAGGGTGAGAAGAAAAAGGACTGAAGAAAGGCCATGGAGAAACTAGCAATAAAATCATTTGCCTTGGGCTGGGGAGATAGCTCAGCGGTCTAAGCACCTGCCCGGCAAGCACAAGGACCCGGGTTCAATCCCAAGTACCACATGCTGTGCCAGCCCCGGAACCCTGGGTGCATCGTGCTGACACTGAAACCGGGTGTGGTGGCACATGCCTATAATCCCAGCACTGGAGAGGCTGAGCCAAGAGGATCAGTATGAGTCTGAGCTGCATAGTGAGACCCTGTACCAAATAAATTTAAAAAAAAAAACACATTTGCCTTAGTCTTATATGGTCCCCTACATTTATGTGGTCCCCTAGTTTACAATGGTTATAAACCAACCCTTAGCTTTGCCTTCCAGAGCAATCTCACAATTACAACTCCAATTATTCTGCCCTGAAATATTAATACCTCTCTCATCAGTCTCCTCCACTAGACTGCTGGGGGCCTGAGGTCAGTGGCTGCCTAACACCTCCAGGGAAAACAGCGGCAGAACGTTCTTCAGTGAATAATTAATGTATACTAATTTGTGTGCCCTGGACAAAACTGTAAATTCCTAAGGGTAGGGCGTGTGTTTAATCCTTGACTGTGTCTCCTCTGCCTGAACTACTGGTGACTCAACTTGTCTGGTATCTCACTAAAGGCAATAGTCTGTATCTCATTATAGGCAAGCTCACCCTGAACTCTGTCAACAGCAATTCCCATGTTTCTCACATTTTAGAGCAGTAGTTCTCAGGTGAAAACTAAATTAACACAACAGCAGAGATGGCAATTTATCTATGAGATACAACTAAAAAATACAGTGAATGTTTATTTTTTAATTTTATTACAGTAAAAGATGCATTTCTATTAATCTCCCTGAAAATATTCCTTCTCTTTCGGACACATCCCATCATTCTTGCCCTTTACTGAAACAGTTCTGCAAGTCTTGTCTTGGCAGTATCTTTAGTTACATTGTCATAGCTGCCTTGATGTCCTGAATTGATTCAAAATGTCTACCTTTCAGGGCTATTCTGACTTAGCGGAAGAGCCAGAGGTGTACGGTGCCAGATCTAATGAATTGCAGAGGCGGATACATCACAATTTTTTTTTTTTTGACAAAAATTTTTGTCAACATTTTGAATTAATTCAGGACATCCAGGCAGCCATGAAAAGACATTCATGAAAGAGGACTTTCAGAACTGCATGAGAAAGGGGTAAGAAGCATGGCACATATGCTAGAAGGGAGAGAAGAGTATTTTAAAGGGGTTTAATAGCAATGTGTCTTTTATTCAGTCATTTTTAAAATTTTTGATTTAACCATTCAGTATAGTTTTTGACCACACCTCTTATCTACAAGGTCCAGCACAGAAAACCTCCCAGTCTACATTCCTCAAGTTATATCTTTAATCTACTTCCTGTTTACTTGCTGCTAATAGAAGAAAAAGTTAATAGCTCAACAAAATTTTTTTTCACATTCTTAAAGTTACTCAGTCTATTCTTAGGCTCTTTTCACAAAGATTTAATGCAATGCAGTTTTGGTCTATTTATCTTATTGCTCATCAAGGCAGAGCTTACTTGCTGGAGTCCTTCAGTGATGGAAGTTACTGGAGCCATCCCACATGTCAGTGACGACAGCATGTACCCATCTGAGCCAATGGAACTATTAAAATTTCCTTGCTAAAAGAAAAGGAAGACAAAAGGATTGCAGTAAATGCAAAGGAATCGGTTCAAAAGTAGAAACAATGAAGTGTGTTCATTCACAGTAGGTGAGACAGCATGGTACAAAGCATGTAGTAGGACTCAGAAGTAGACAAATACCCTTGCCTTGCTAACCGGGTAGTTTCCAACTGTGAGTTCATAGAGCCCCTGAGAGGTCCCAAGATTTTTTTTTTGTACCAGAAATCGAACTCATGACCTTGCCCTTGGAAGGCAGCTGCTGTGTCACTGAGCTACATCGTTGCCAGAAGTCCCAGGATTTTTTCATGGTTACTTATGAGCAAAATGATTCTCATAATACTAAAATATTAACTGCTGTTTGTCTTATTTCTTGTTGCTGAGACAATACTCTATACCCAAAGGTAAAAGGAGGAAAGATTTATTTCAGCTCAGTTTGTAGAGGTTTCAATGCATAGTAGGCTGGCTAGAAAGCAGGATGGCATGATAGAGTAATATTGCAGAGGAGAAACAGCCCATGGCAGAGCAGGGCAGGCAGAAGGTACGCCGCAGTGAAGCAGCAACCAGCAAGCAACAAGTGACAAGCAACAAGGGACCCTTTTTCTGTCCCTTATATTACATCCTTACTCTTGCAGCTGTAGCACTCACAGGTTGGGTACCCTTAAACCTACCCAGAACTATGCCAAACCAAACAGTGGACTAATATAGTGATCACATACCCTTAATCCCAGCATCACACAATCTAGATTCAGCCACCTCTGAAAAGCCACATGAGGTGTAAGGGTTTATCTAGACGCAAACCATAACAAAACCGTTTTCACCAGAGTTAACATCAGCACTGATTCGGAGAATTGCTGGGGCACAAACCCAAACCAATGTTCTAGAAATGGAACTAGAATTTACTGTGCCCTTTCAAGGAAAATACCACTTTTATCAATATTTTAAAAAAACTTTTAAATGTCCATTTTAAGCATGGTAAATTCATCATTTTGTTACACTACACCTCTTGAAGATAGATCTCAATATAGTCCCCGCCCAACACTGTTCTTGGTTTCAGTTACCCATGGTCAAAGTCTAAAAATATTAAAAGCAAAATCTCATAAATAAATAACTTGTAAGTTTTAAATTGTATGTTATTCTCAGTAGCATGATGAAATCTCATACTATCCAGCAATGTTTCACCCAAGACATAAGTGACCCTCTTGTCCAACGTACCTAAAATCTAACTCATAAGTTAAACTTTCTATATGTAGGAAAAACATCTAGGGTTTAGTACTATCTGCAATTTCAGGCATGCACTAGGGGTCTTGGAACATGCCCTAGGAGATGGGGTGGGGGGAGAACCTAATGTATTCCATGTGACAAATGAGAAATTCTCACGAAGTGCTTCTGTTGTACTTCTGAGAACAAAGGACAATGATCACCTAGAAGAAAAGCCTTGTGCAACTATTCAAGAGCTGAACTTGCTGCTGTACGTGAAGCACCACTTTCACAGGAAAGAACTGTTGATAGAAAAACTAAACTTACTCAGACCTGCAGAAAAAGAAGTGAGTCTATCACTTGGAGGAACACAACTTGATGCATTTGTAGGCAATATTAACATCAAAGCTTTCAAGAAAAAATTAAGATTTAGAAAACTTGTATCTATCATGCTGAGAATAGTGGCTGCCCAGTACACAATTTATGATAAAATCAGCAATGATTTTTTTTTAATGTTTCCTTTATTTATTTTTTTCTTTTTTTTTTTTTATGGTCAGTTCAGCCCACCCTGGGGGCGGGGCTGGCATGGCATGTGGTGCTGGGGATCGAACTGAGGTCCCTGCATGCTTGCCTAAGTTTGCCTAAGCAGGTGCTTTAGACCACTGAGCTATCTTGCCAGCCCTCAGCAATGATTTTGATGTGATTTTTTTTTTGATAACTCTGTGAACCCCTATTTTCCAAATGACTAATGCATGTTATAAAGCCATGAATGGGTAAAGGATCCATTCAAAGTATGAAATAGACTAATGGATTTTAATGTCAGAGAACAAAAAGTTCATTGATGTGTTTTCCAATTTCACATTGTAACTAACCTTTAAGGGGCTAGTATTTATTCAATTTGGGTTTAATATCAAAAAAGAAAATGCTCTCCACAAATATCTGAAAAGCCTTGTAAAATACTACCTTAGCCAACTATGTATCTGTATACGGTCAGATTTTCATTTGCTCCAGTCAAAACAACATAGCACAACAAACCGACCACAGATGTGGGTAAGAATTGAGCTACAGGGCTGGTGAGATGGCTCAGTGGTCTAAAGCACCTACTTAGAACAAGCTTAGCAAAGCACAGGGACCGGGGTTCAATCCCCCAGCACCACATGCCAGCCAGCCCCGCCCCCTGGTGGGCTGAGCTGGCCACACACACACACACACACACACACACACACAAATAAATAAATAAATAAATAAAAGAACTGAGCTACAGAGGCTGGGGAGAAAGCTCAGTGGTCTAAGCACTGGCCTGCCAAGTGCAAGGACTGGGTTCAATTCCCAGTACTGCATGCCATGCCAGTCCCAGAACAGCAGGCCACCAAAACCAAGCATGGTGGCACACGTCTGTAATCCCAGCGCTGGGGAGGCTGAGACAGGTGGACCACTATGAGTCTGAGCTGCATAGCAAGGCCCTGTACTAAGTAAATAAATAAATATGTTTTTTTAAAGTTTAAAAAAAATAATTGAGCTACAATCTACTAAGGACCTTAAGGTCTACATAGACATTAAAGCAACTGGTGAAAATATAAAACAGTGCCACTCTTTTTATTAAATTTTTATTTTGAAAGACAATTACTTTTATAAGAAAACATCAGCTGAAGTATAATGGATTTTTTTCTTGTTTTACAAGAATTATTTTCTTGAATTACAATTAATTTTATGTTTAAAATTATAGTTTCAATTTCCTATATGGCAAATATCAATAATTATATAACCCAGGGAAACAGAAGTTCTCCAATGATATCAATATAAAGTCCTCAAGAAAAGAAAAAGTTTGCAGAACACCACACAAAAAGAATTTTGTCAAAATTGGAAGAACTATTTAGGATCCTTAAAAACCCAGAGTGTACTGACTTAAAATAAGCAGGAAAAACAAATCACGCCTGTTCCATTTGTGTCAGTCTTATGCTTAACGCAACCAGGACAGAGCTGTTTCCCTCAGAAAATATTTTAATGAAGGTTGTTCTTTTCTGGATTCTGTTCTGTTGGCCTCATACAATCCTATACACACTCTTTCAAGGCTGGTGCCTCTCATTCCAATCGTCCTAAAGATCTTCCAGTGTCAGTGTGGGCTTACGGTTCCCAGAGCATCCCTCAGAAATGTATAATTTTCCGCCCTTAACTAGTTAACAGCACTGCTGTCCAAAGTCACGTGGCACACGTGTTGTGCTACAAAACAGCACATGAATAACAAAAGATCCCACTGGTGATTCCCAGGAAACACAGTGGCTGAAAATGCACATCAGCCAGGATGACAGCATGATGGGCCCCCCAGGCCGGCGGCACTTTCTTTAGTTAACGCTAGGAGAATGGCACTTGGAGGCAGCAAGGGGTAAGAAACACCCTTAATCAGTGAACCTGGTAATCAAGTTTTTAAAATAATATAAAAATGAAAATCCTGTGAGAGGACAACAAATCTTATTCAGCACTTATTGCTTATACCTCACATCTAAGTCTTATTTCCTGCTCCAAGAGCTAACATTCCAAATATCCATTCTGATAAATATGTTCCTAAGCTCAAGGTATATCATTAGTTTCCAGGAACCTACTATTAATACAGAATCAACACTGTCTAAAGGAAGAAAAGCAGATACTATTTTAGGTATGATAAATCTGATATAAAAAATTACAGAAATTTTTGTTTTAAAGTAAGGTCTTGGAGAAATACCTTTTCAGAAATACAGTATAACGACAAATAGTACAGAAAACAAAGCGAAAACTTTACTTACTATGGCATCTTTGACAATTTGTTTGGCCACCTGTTCTGGTTTGCAAATACTCGTGGTCTCTGAAATAAGTCGAGTCTCCAAAGGCTAGAAGTAGAAAACAATGTTCATTTTAATGCCCTCATTCCCCATTACATTAAAAATATGTAACTCCTACAGCCTCCTGCATTATAAATAACTCTAAATTTCTACCTCCAAACAGATCCCGATTTTAGATCTAGGTCCACTGTCATCTTCAGTTTACTCGGTAACTGGAATAGTCAGCCCAGGAAGCCCTTTCTGTTTTCTGTAGGACATGCGTGGTCTCAGCCTCAGTGAAGACCATCAAAGCCAGAGTGAGAAGGCGTCACTGGGTACCAGTCAAAAAGGATCCTCTTGGACTGCCCGCTGCTAGTCATACACCAGAGCATGGTGCCCAGCCAAAGGCTGGATCCTGCGCCCTGAGCCACCCTGTGGCCAAGCCAACACCTCTATTCTGACCTTTCTGCCATCAGCAGATGACTGATGCCTGGGCCCAGCTGAGGTGCTGGGCAGAGAATCAATTCACGTTCAGTATCTGCAGCGGTTTCTTAAAAGACAGCATGGACAGGGCTGAAAGGGAGCCCCTGAGGAGACAAACCCTGACATGGCCAGTAGTTTAGTACATGTCAGTTACAGGACTAGAATCAACTCCAAATTTGGGCCTTTTGCTTTTCAATAGATGTTCAAAGTGCTGCCTCAACTCTCATCTATTTCAACATGCCTATCTGAATTCTTGGTTTGCAATAATCAATCTTTCTCTTCTTTGAACATTTCTGCCTTAGCATATGTAACAGCTACTTCTGCATTTAAATTTTACCTGCAAAATTTCTTGGGAGCAGGATTTTTTTTTTTTATCTCATTTTTCTCTGATACTTCTCTGTGGCCCCTTGCTTACAAGTTCTTTAAAAGGGACTTTCAAACTAAAGCCTTAAATACAGTACACTTCAAATTCTGTTTACACATAGGGCTGGAAAAACAAAATGAAAACCAGACTAGAGACAGGCATCATGCTACATGCCTATAATCTCAGCTATTCAAGAAGAGCTGAGGCAGGAAGACTGCAGGCTCCAAGCCAGTGTGGGCATTTTATTGAGATCCTGTCTCAAAAAAGAAAAAATAAATAAAATAAAAGGTGAGGATGCAGCTCAGTGATATGAGTGCTTGCCCTCCCAAGCTTGGTTTCAAATCCTAGTACTGCCCAAAACAAAAAGTAGATTATATTTTCTTAAAATAGAAAAAGTAAAGCCTTTCAATAAAGTCAATACTGCTTGAGGAACTTGAGTAAAGAAGAAGACCCTTCTCCCAGACCACCAGGTTGGAATGGCCAAGCAAGATTAACGTGAGATTGGAGCTGGGGAGACAGCTCCAAGGTCAAGCGCCTGCCTGGCAAGTGCAAGGTCCTGAGCTCAATCCCCTGTACCTCATGCCATGCTGTCCCAGACCTCCAGGTGCATTGTGCTGGCCCCAAAACTGGGAAGGTGGCACACACCTGTAATTCCAGTGCTGGGGAGGCTGAGACAGGAGGATCACTACAAGTATGAACTGCATAGCAAGACCTTATATCACCAACAAAAATTTTTTAAAAATAAAATTAAAAAAAAAAAAGACACACATGAGATTGAAAAGTACGATGTCGCCCCCTAATGGGCCCATGGATCTACACAGAATTTTATTTACCAGAAATAGTTTGCCAAAATCTTAGGAGAGGTTAAGGACAGGAGGAATAAGGGGAAAAGATGCTTCTATGCATATGAGGATGGTTTGGACAACTGCGCTGTGGCATTCTACTGGTCTATGGAAAGGAGCACTTAATGCTTAATTTGTTTTGTCTCCTTTTTGTAATTCTGTGTCTTTTTTCTCTTAATTTCTTATGTATTTCTTTTTTTTTTCTTTCTTCTTCCAACTTTGCATGCTTATATCTGATAATATGAACAGCTAATTTGAAGACAACACTATGTATCACAACAAATACTATGAAATTTATATTATTTTGTTTAGTGAAATTCTGTATCATTTGTAGTTATTCTGTTTTAATACTATTATGTACTCTCTTTAAAAAATAAAAAATATTTTTAAAAAATCTTTACAAAATCAAAGTTTGGAGAAATCACCACACTTTGTCAGCTTTGGCTTCAAATTAACAGACTGTATACCAAATACCAATCTAACTAGCAGATCTCTGTTTATTCTTAAAGGCAAAAACACAGCTTAAATTTATGTCGCTAAAAGAGTAGCAATTTTTTAAAAGACAGTGAAAAAAAAATAGGAAGAAAAGAAACTTGTAAACCATAAACATCCTTTTTTAAAAAAAAATTGTAAATATAGGGCCAGCCAAATAGCTCAGCAGATTAAAGCGCCTGCAAGCAGTTTGATCCCCATGCTGGCCCCGTTCCTGCGGGCACGCTGAGATGGCAACTGAGAGTGGGCGTGGTGGTACGCAACTGTAATCCCAGCTCTTGGGAGGCTGTAAACAGGCAGATCACTACGAATCTGATTTAGCAGTGAGACCCTGGATACCTTGTAGACCCTTCCCTTAAAAAAAGATACAAAAAAAAAAGGTTGTAAATATATAGTCCATGGAATATAAGTGCCAATTTTTGTGGGATGGAGGTCCACACTTAGTATTACTACAAAAAAGAAAATCTAAAGCTAAAATCACTCTCAATTAAATGAGCAAGTCTGATGCAAGTCTGATTGATTCTTCTTCTCTACAAATTCCAAGCCATTTCCCTTGTGAGGGCAGACGAGCTGTTTACTAATTAGAAGCTCTTAGTTCTAGGACATGGGCCCACTCAGAGCAGCTCTGAGGTGTGTCCCTGCAAACAGAAATGTGAGGTAGGGGTTGGCTGGGACTGGACGGTGAGCTCCGCTGACTGCCTGCCCTGCCTGGGCCCACAACACAGAGAGTTGCTCTTACTCTCCCAAAGGCAGGGAACACACAATTTCTCACTAGGGAAACTGATCCAGCCTGAGAAAAGGTAAGCAGATGCTGCTGGAAGGGCACCTTCGAGGATTCTCCCTCCAGGTCACTCCCTAGTGAAGCAGAAAGCTGAGAAGCCAGAGTTTTATGACTGGCATTTTAGCACCTCTCTCAGATACAAATAACCAAGGAATATCAGATATGTGAAGAATGTGTAAAACAACAGAAAAGAAAAAAACTTTGAGAAAAACGGTAATATAGGATAGAAAAGAAAGCAGTCACTTTGGCAGCACATATACTAAAACAGGATACAGAAAAAAATTACAACAGGCTTGGGATGAATTCCTCTGAGAGAGAGACTCTCAGAAGCATTCATAAATCAATTGATCCTCTCCATGTCAGCTTTCCCAGTATGGTGGTGACTAGCTTCCAAGAGCAAGTGGTTCCAAGCAAGAGGAAGTGAAAGCTGCCAGTCTCTTTGGTTTGAGCCAGTAATCTGAAACAGTGTTACGTCTACCAGTTGTTTGAACTTCAGAATCTGCCAAGATGTAAGACAAGGGGACCTAGAATCTACCTCTCCTTAACAGTATAAGGAAGAAAGTTGTAGCTGGGCATGAGGGCACACTGCTCTAATCCCAGATCTCTGGGAAACAGACAGAATCAAGTTTTTTTAAAAGCATCATAACTGTACTACATAGATTAAGATGTCTACTAAAGCAAATGCTTCCAAGACAAAGTCTCAACAATTTAAAAAAATTTAGAAAGGAAAACTGATGATGAAGTAGAGTGGTGTGAGAAAGAGGTTAGAAATATAATGGAAAGTAAAAATCATCCAAAGCCTATGTCTTCTGAAGGACAAACAAATCATATTAATCTAACACTGATAAAGATCACATCCAACAAGAGAAGAGCCTGGCGACCTCTTTCAAAGAGTTGGCGAGAGCACTTGCTAACTATGGTGGAAGCAGTAATACTAGCAATTTTGAGCAATAACAAAGAAAAAGAACAAATGCAGTATCATCTCACCTGACTGAAGAAAAGGTTGCTACAACTGTATGAAGCCCTGAAAGTCCCTCCACGAAAGTTGAAATATTTAACTAATGTGTCAAGTTGCCTGAAAATGGAAAGAGCACAGGACAGAGCTAATGAAGAAGGTCTGGCATGATTTCAGGAAGAAACAGGTAACATATTACAGACGCAGAGTCAGTGACTGGGAATATTCAGAGTCTAAGTAACAAAACTGAAATTCTGGCACATGACACAGCAGAAGAGGAAAAAACAAAAAGATACTGGAAATGGGCAGATGCGCCTGCTCTCTCTATGACAGCTTTCTCAGGGCAGTCTGGAAGTACCCACACTGCAGAGAGCCTGTGATGCCAACTCCAAACCAGAGCGCTCTTCCATAAGACCTGGACATTCTTCCTAAAGCATCTCAAACGAAGAACATGTCGATGCACATCATAGAAGCCTGCAAGAAACTAAATACCCCTTGAAAAAAATTTTATATTGTTTTCTATTAGTGTTTATAAATTTGTAAAATTGTTGGCCTATGATACAAGAGAGGCTAAAACTTCTATAGAATTTACTCTCCTCTAATATCCACTTTAAAGTTCACCTTGGTAGGCCCATCATTAGCATCTAATATAGTCTTAAAAACTGTTTTAACAGTTATGAAACTTAGAAAAGCAATTTATATTCCTGTACTGCAGTAACTTGCCTAAAATCATAAAAAAATACCTGTCATCTGATAGTATGGTGGCTAAGTAGAGCTCATCTACCAGTTTGCCCATGAAAGTTATGATGCTGTGACACTGTACACATGACACAATATATGTGATGCTGTGACGCTGTGTACGTGACACGGTATGTGATGCTGTGACGCCGTGCACGCGACACGGTATGTGATGCTGTGACGCCGTGCACGCGACACGGTATGTGATGCTGTGACGCCG